ATGTTTTTTTCATGTTCGATGCCTTTATTTTTCAAATTCCCAGTTGCAATATTCTCCCCCATGATCAGACTTTAATCTCTTTGGTGTTGTTGTTGCTGAACTTGCTTGCTACCTACCCACAGTACAGTTTCAATTTCTCAAACACTTCATTCTTACTGGTTGAGAAACAGGTGCAATACTCTGAGTGACACTCTATGAATGTTACCAAGTAGCTTTTCCCACCCTTTGTTTTGACTGGCATGGGGCTACAACCTTCTGAAAAAATAAGTTCCAACTGCTGGCTGGCTTGTTTAAGTTCAAACCCAGGAAAAATTGTTGCTTTTTCCCTTTGGCTTTAAACAATAGTCACAGTTCAGTTCCTTTTTTTCTTGCAAGAACATTCAATTGCTGAAAAATTATTGCAGATAATTTCTAGTTTAGTTTGCAACCAGCACACACTCAGTCAATCCCTGTATCCAGATCAGAGCACGCACACGTCACTCGGTTCAGCTAGCAAAAATATAGCTTGATGTTTATTAATTAAACATCAGCAAACATCAAAAACAGTTAACTAGCAAAAACAAGACAAAAGACAGAGAAAAAATAGGGAGGGAGGGAGAGAGAAATGAACAACAAGCAAGAATTTACCTTATCTATATCAATGTCTCCGAACCTTGGCAAATTCCTGGTGTGTGGCCTTCAGAGAACTTTCCAGAGCCACTGAAATATTCTGTAATATCCTATAGATTTCGAGCATGGACAGTCCCAAAGGGTTATTATCCTTTGGTTATTCCAGTCTTAATCCTTTTATGAATATAATGGCAGCAGAATAGAGATGGAAGGTGGGACACCAGGTCATTCCTCCTCTATTCTGTATCATTAAGAAACAATTTGGTGGATGGGGATGATATACCCAACATATTTTGCACCATTCTTTTGGTGGGCATAACTCAACATTTTGGGTTAATATATGCCAGTTTCAGTGCCTACAAAAACTCACAAGATGTGTCATTCTTACCAGAAAAAACAGAAAACAGGACAGTAGTAATGATCAGTTAGAATACAACATCATATGAAGAAAAACAAAGGAGAAGAAACTTCCAAACTATAATAAAGGAAATGCACTTTTGCCTGGAAATGAAAATAATTAAATAAATATTTTTGTTTCGTTTTTACATTTATATGCCACTCTTTCTCAAAGGTTCTGAGCAGCTAATATTCAGAAATACCATAGAGAAAAAAATCAGTAAAAATAAACTCACTGAAGGAATAAAGTCATAAGGGGGGGAGGAGGAGGAGGCGGAGGAGGAGGAGAAGAAGTAGTAGTAGTAGTAGTAGTAGTAGTAGTTGTTGTTGTTATATGTCCACAAATGCATCCCAACATTCAAGACATGGACTAGATGGAAACACCAGGTTTTAACTGCTCTCCTGAAGCCTAGGAAGGGGAGATAGGTCGATACCTGCAGGATGGGAGTTTCACTGCATAAAAATGCCGATTTCCTAGGTCATATTAGATGGTTTTCAGAGAGATGGGAGGGAGTTGAGCCTGTTTGATCTGATCAGATGGGCAGATGAATACGGGAGAAAGTAGGCCCTCAGATAACCTGGCCCAGAGCCATCTAAGACTCTAAATGTGGCAACCAGCACCTTGAATCACACCCAGAAGCCAACAAGCAGCCAATGCAGCTCCCAAAGCAGTGGAGTCACCCAAATATAACGGGTAGCAGCCACAACTTCCCAGGCTGCCACATTTTGTACCAGCTGTGACCTCTAAATGCTTTCTAAGGGCAGCCCCAGATAGAGGACATTATGTACAGTAATCCAAATGAGAGATGACTAAGGTGTGAGTGACCTAGGAGAAGTAGAACCCTATTCAGAGTCAAAGATGATGCTACACTGGAATCAGTTGGCCCACAGATCTAAAGCCACACTGTCTTGGAGGGGTTCAATCCAAGTTTGTTCTTCCTCATCCAAACCCTGACAGCTTCCAAGCACTGGGCCAGCAGCTCTACTGCATCCTGCTTGGTGCAGGGCCAAGATACAGAACTTGGGATCACCAGCAAACTGCTGATATCTGATCCCATACTGACAGGTGATATCTCCTAGTGATTTTGTTTAGATGTTAAAGAGAAGTGGTAAGAGTCCTGAGGCACTCCACAGGATAGAAGCCTCTGACTGGATCTCTCACTCCCTCTCAACTGGAATTGACCTCTTAGGAAAGAGGAAAACCACCAGTAATGGTGCTCCCCCTTCTAATCCCTTGGAACTGGTCAAGAAGGACCCCATGGTTGATATTAAAAGCTACTGAGAGATCAAAGACCAGGAGGTCTGCACTGAATTGGTGCCCATCTCTCCAAAGGTCATCAGCAGTTGGCAGTCTTTCTTCCCTAGGAAGGAAAGGTTCGCTTTAAAAAGAGCTCCTGGGCAGCATTTAGCAGATGTGAAGAAAGCAGCAACATATTTATTTTTGCTGCCCATATGCTGCCCACTGATTAAATTCCAGCCTGTTCTTCCTTGAGTGGCCCTTTGGGTGTCTCCTCCACCATTCCAGTTTATTAGAGTCACTGATTTATTGCAGGATTAGACTTTCTACAATAGACCAAGTCATCTTAAACCATTCTCCTACAATAGACCAAGTCATCTTAAACCATTCTCCTATGATGACACCACAACTACACAGCAATTTGCTGTGCCTCCATTACTCATAATGATGATTACTTAGGATTCTGTTCAGAATGCGTCTGGATTTACTAGCCCAGATTATCTTTTGATCCTAATATATACATCATGGAAAGATTCATACAAAATGAGGAAAGTTGCATATGAAAAGAATTGTCTTCAAGGCCCTTTCAGCATAATGCAGTAACTCTGGCAGAGTAACAGCTGAATATGTATGAAAATGACATAGACCAGAGACAGACTGAGCCGTACATTCCAGTTATGCACAGATGCAGAAAGTAACTCAACTCTGCTTTTAACTAAGGCAAGTATTATTAGGCAGAGGCTGCCAATCAAGTGAGCATTTTCCTCCAGTTCTTGCATAAATGAGCAAAGGACTTACTTGCAGTTTCATGGGAAATATTGAATTTCCTCCTCAACACCTGTGGCATAGACATGACCTAAAAGGAATAAAATCTTGTTAGCATGTAAATAAGGGTCGGCTATATTTTCCCCCCTTGCAGCTTACACCCAACTTTTCCTCAGCAGGACAACATTTTGGCCCACAAATAAATGTCAGTCCACTCATCTGTTTTGTGAGTCATTCATCTATTTTGCTGATGTACTCATCTGCTTGGATTTGTTCATTTCAGTACAATTTTTACTTCTATTTGGATTAGACATTTTTAAAAAGCTGAATAATCTATTTCCCCTCAACACTCTCCAACGCTACACCACTTAGCCCCAATTGTTTGCAGTTGTTAATGTCACATCAGAAAGGTCAAGAGAAATATCTAACACTAATACCACCAGTAAGTACTGAAAGAGAGGTTTTGAAGAATAGCTTTTGAATTTCTAGAACAGAGTTTGATTTGTAGATCCTAGTTTTACAGAGTTACCTGCTTCTGCTTCTTCAGCATGTGGAAGAATAGTTGAAAAGCAGCATGTAAAAATTTAAAAGAAACAAATAAGATTTATGTTTTGATCTTTCATCAGTTTTATTTGGTAAGTACTTAGAAGGTTATTCTTCCATCTGTATCCTTCTTTAAATATGTAGTCTTAGTCACTGTCTATTGGCAGATGGTCAGAATTTTCATTACTATAATTGGCTGCTGGTTATGTTGGAAAAAATCATGCAATGGGATTAAAAAAAAAATACAACAGCTGTGGCGATCTAGGTTTAAACCTTTACGATGATACCTTCAAAATTAGCTAGGCAATCCCTAACAGATTTCCGAGCAAATAGAGTATTTGCTTCAACAAATAAAGGTGGGCAGAAATGTGCTTGCCTCTTTTCCAGGAGTCGTCCAAGATCAGACTTTAAAATTTAGGGAATTTCAATGAGCAGCCAAAACACAGCTTCCACTTGCACGAGAAAGGCATCTTTGCCATTTCTCATCTTGTACTTACATATACTTTGAAATCATCTGGTGATCCTGTATCAGGAGAGGTTGAGTCCTCTAAAAAATTATGTGCATTCCTGAGAGTCTGAAGGTTAAATGCCTTGGAATGGAGGATATGAAAAACATTGATTTGGTTTATGATAATCATGTAGTAGGAAAATAGTAGGTTGTATATGCATCTGCTTTCCATAAATTTACCTGCTCTAGGGCAAAGTCATGCAAAAGTGTCAAAACAGGCAATTAAAATGGCTAAAAGTAAGATATAATTGATGAATTTATAATGAAGAAGAAGGAATATCTGAGGCTACTCTACCAGCATTCTCTGGTATGGACCAGTCTTAGCCATCCTTTTTTCTTTTCTCTAATCTCTTTTCCTTCCATTTTTCTCTGCTGTATAATTAGTTCAGTGACAAATTATTTTTACTAATGGACTTTATTTACTAATTCCTATATTACATGTAATGCTTTAAGGTTATGGCTCAGAAGTGATCCATTATGGATTTGTTAGTTGTAATATTGTAGTGCTATTTTTTTAAAAAGCGCTTCAGATCAATTCATACTAATTGTTTTTATTTTTACCCAAGAAGAGTCCTGCCATCTGCCAGGACTCTTCTCCATCTCCTTCGCTCCCTTTAAGTACAGGTTACTCATTGGTTTGCATTCATCCCTGCTTTCCATCTCCTTCTGCTCCAATCCTGCCTAAATTCATAGTGTCATCATTCCCCCAGGGCAAAGACATGTTTGTTTTGTCACTTGGTAAAGCAGCACATAGGGCATTGTTGTAATTCTTCGCAGCATTAGAAGCAACACTCAGAATACCTCAACTCTCCAATGAGATCCAAGAAAACGTATGGCACATAATCATACCTCTGACCAAAATGACACATAAACAGGACCATCTTAAAGCAAACCGCCCCCCCCCCCCATAAAAATGTTAGAGAAGGACCAAAACATCATCCTACTAGCAGACAAAGGCTGAATGAATGACAGTCATCATGGATAGAGCACAACACATCCTAAAAACTAAAGAACTGTTGAATGACAAGGAAGCTTACACTCCTCTAACCACAAGCTCAACACAGAAACTAGACAATTAAATCAAGAAAACCCTCAATGATCTAGCCAAGAGAGGACAAGTTACAAAAGAACAATGGTGTATGAAAAGCTGTGGACCCATCTCCCACACTTTTATGGATACCCAAAAATACCCAGACCAGATGTACCACTCTACCTGTGTCACTATCGTGGACCCCAACATACAACTTTGCCAAAGAACTCATCCAAAAATGTGGCCATTTCATAGATGGGAGTGAACATGCTATCAATTCACCATTACAGCACCTTCAGAAAATCAAAGGCTTAATAGCTGAAGAAGATGAATTCATGGTCTCATTGATATCACAGCATTCTTTGCATCCATAGATCTAAAACTGGCAAAAGAATGCACTGAAACCTTACTATACAAAGCAGAGCACCAAACCAAGTGAAGCAAACAAAAATGGAAATACTTAGAAATATGGAATTTATAGACTGATGCCTCACCATTTATTTTCAGTTTGATGGACAGATATACAAACAAATCAGATAAATCCCTGTGGGATCACCAATTTCAGGATTCCTAGCAGAAATGGTCATGCAGTGTCTGGAAATAATAGCCCTCCCACAGAAACAACCCCAGATATGAATCTGTTAGGTGGACAATACTTTTGTCATAACCAAAAACACACACAGCAAAAGCAGTTTTCAACAGAAACAAATTTATAAGGGAAGAAAAAAATAACAGACTATCATTCCTAGATATTCTCATCAGCAGAGGTAACAATGGCATACTTCATACTCAGTATATTGAAAAACAACACAAACAAACCAAGTGCTGCATTATCAGAGCAACAATCCAACTGCCCAGCATAAGAGGGCTATTCAGACAAGCAAAAACATACTGAGTCAGCCCAGAACTCCAAAGAGAAGGAACAAGACAACCGTTACTGCATCCTTCAACGTAATGGGTACTCACAGAATGTCATTAAAAGTGCCTTTCCATGCAACCAACTAGAACTCAACCACCACAACACATAAAAAGAATAATTTTCCCATATAGTAAAAATATCTCAGAAACCACCAGCAGGTTATGTCAACCACAAAGGATCAAAGTAGCCCACAAACCAACAAAATCCCTCTAAAGTATCTTAAACAAACCCAAAGATACAACAACTGAAAAAGACAGAACAGGAATTATTTACAACGTACAATGCACTGACTGTGAAAGTTGCTATGTAGGACAAATAGGCAGAGGATTCGCAGAATGCATTCGTTGGCAGTCAGAAGACCTGCTGAAAATTATTTACTTTTATAACACATGGACCAATTTAATCATAAATTCAACTATAGGTGGTCCTTGACTTACGACTATTCATTTAGCAACCATTTGGAGTTACAACGGTGCTGAACAAAGGGACTTACAGCCAGTGCCTGAAGTTACAGCTGTTGCAGTGCCCCTATGGTCACATGATCAAAATTTGGGCACTTGGCAGTCTGCCCGCACTTACAACTGCAGGGGTGCTTCAATTCCCCCAACCCACCTATCTCCCCCCATCTATGCTTTTTCGGCCCCCTGCACTCTATGCCCCTGCTGCCCTAGCTGACTTTCACTGTCTTCTTGCTTCTGCTGCTGACCAAGCATGCCCAGCCTGGTCCTTCACAAGGCAGCTGCTGGCCACATTATGCTTTCTTTGCAAGACTGCTCATGGCAGTTTCCTCGTGAGATATGGGGAAGATGGCCTCATGAAGGGCCAGGCAGGCACACCTCATCAGAAGCAGGAGCAAGAAGACTGTGAAGGCCAGCTGGGATCCCTTTTGTCTTTTGCTGATTTTAGCATGGATCGTGCCAATCGGATCTACGAAACCCAATTCCTAAACTCTGAACTTAACCACCTT